ATTTTACCTCTCTCATAAATAAATCCCACGGATAAATCTTTTCTGGTTCGGATCCAAGAGATTTAATGGCGCTGCTCAATTCGGAATGATAAATTTTCAATATATCATCATAATACTGATCTCGAAATGGCTTCTGAGTGCAAGAATAAATTAAAAACGATAGATCCGCGATAGGATTAGCGCAACGCGCGAGTTGAAAGTCCAGTATTAGTGCTTCTTTTTTATTTCGCCCGGCGTCTCGGACTAGAAAATTCGGAGCCCAACAATCACCCGCGGTTATAATAGACGTCGGAGCATCTTTCCTCTCAATTAATTCTGAGCATTTGTGATAGAGCGAACCAAATTCATAGGAATTGAATTGCTTCTCGGCTTTACTGTTGGGATATTCCATCTTTAACGCATGTTTAGCTATATCCGTCAGCTTTTTCTGTAAGCAAAGATAATGTTACTGATAATTACATTAAGATGCAACGTAATATAACTTACATGGAATTTTTGGTACCAGTTCCAGTGTTCACTGCTAAAGTAGGTTTCTTTCAAGTAGCTTGCAATTTCTGCGAACTCCTCTTTCTTTTGGTCCTTGTACGCAAATGAAATAGCGTGAAATTTCGCCAAGGTTTTCAAGATCACGGTGCACTCCGCCCAGTCCAGGCAGCTTTGTCTGGACGCAGGCCCAAATCCCAGGGGAGAGACGTCCTCCAAGACTATGAAATCATTCTCACCGTCCATGTAAGAAGCCAAGTAACGTGGTATAGACAGTAGATTGCTTTGTCCTTTCTCCGCTAAGAATTTTTCAATCTTGGGGACAACCTGTAATGTAAAATAACACTCGTTTGAGACCGAGGCACTTGTTTTATTCGATTATACAAATAGAATCTATTTTTTTTTCTTCCAAAAGATACACATGTATTTCCGATTACACAGAAGAAGAACTTCACGCATTCTCACCTTTGTATAAAATATGATTTCGTTACCAAAGAATTCTCCGCTCCTAAAAGTCTTTCTTCTGCCAATGTTCTTGGGAATCGACTTCACGAC